ATTATTTTTGGCTCAGAACAAAACGAGCATGTAGGCAGAGGCAGGATGAATAGCAGAGAAGAGAGAAAAGCGGCAGTTAGGACAGAAAAGTCGCCACCGTGCGCGGGCCGTGCTCTCGTGGCTGAGCATGAACAACGAGGCGCACCGAGGTTGGATGTGGGCGAGTGTGCGAGCGTGTGAGGAACCGATCAGCCAGGTGAAAGGACCTGTCTGGGGGCAACGGACCGGCTGGTGCCGCGGGGGCGCGGGGCGTGCGTGCGATGGCTTCCTGTTCCCTCAGCCCCCTTTCCTCCACCCCCTCCCCTATGCTGCACTCAGCACTGGAGTGTGATTAGCTGGCCAGGGGTGGGAAGAGCACAAGCTGTGATTTTCTCTAATTGTTGTTTTTGCTGAAAGGTAATTAAAATCCCTTTTCATTTCAGACCTCTGTGGCAGGAAGGGAAAAGCAGGGAGTGGGGGTGGGGGGGAGAGAGAGGGGAAAATGGAGGATGGATTTGCCATTTTAAGGTGCAAGGGAGGAAGGGAGCAGAGGGAAAGGGGGGCAACAAAGCACCGGGGGGGGGGGGGTGGCCACTTCCCAGGGGGAAAAAGAAAGCAGAGCTCTGGGGGCCTAGACATGGTCTTGTTACCTGGGCGGTCCCAAGTGTGTTCTTCAAAAGGGCCTTCCCCGTACCCCTATCCTGACCTCATTCACCTCCCCACAGAATTTTTTTTCAAACGTGAGACTGGCACTTTCCAGGAAAGCATCCAACGATGACAATCGGTGCAGCTCTTTAGAGAGATCATAAAACTTACACATTAAACTTAAGGGACCACATCTTTTCTACTGAAATGAGAGCTTTGCCTCCTATGGTATTTCACTGCAATGATGCAAACACATCTTTTTTGTGGAAATATTCACCTGCAGGCACACAAATCAAGTGTCAGTTACAGAATGATGATTAGAATTATTACGGGCATGAGAACCTGCCGTACTCGGAGGCAGAGCACTGGGCCATTGACTCAGGAGTGTCCTTGCTGGTTTGGATAGTGGGGACCCTCCAAGGTCATGCTTGGAGAGAGACTTTCCCCAACCTTGACAGCGGAAGTCTTCTGAACCAGTGTCAACTTTCTGCTGGTCCGTCGGCCAAGTCCAGCCTGCACAGGGTCTCGCAAGCTCACCTGCCTCTTTTCCAGCCTCTGCCCAATGATCAGTGCTGCACAAAGGCAGGCTTTCTGCAAAACTGAGTAGGGAGTCCTTCTCTCTGCACACAGAAAGGCAGAGGCCGAGTGCCCTCTCATCACCGTGACCTGCTCTTCCTAGGTACACCTGCGAACCCGCTTTTTACCTGCACGACTGGCACTCTAGGTAAAAAGTGTGGGCTCTCTCACACTAGAGACATCCAGAAAGTGTCTGGCCAGTCATCTGAGCGGGATGGTGTAACTTGGTGTCCTGCCATGGCAGGGGACTGGACCCGATGGCCTTCTGGCCCCTTCCAAACCAACTGTTCTACCATTCTGTGACTTTTCCTTGCGTGGTTGTCTTCTGCTTTCCTTCGCTGTGCCCAAAATATGTGTTCTAGCGTGGCAGTTCTAGGATTACGGCCTCTGCCCCCAGTCTGGCTTTTGACAGTTTAGGAGGCCACAGTTAGACAAAACAGACTGGAAAAAGTTTCACTGTAGAGCTTGATCTATGGGAACGGAGGGTCTGACATCGCTTTTAACGAAATCTACAATCCCTCGATGCTCTTAGTTTTAGCCAAATCATGTCCCGCCACCCCCGCAACCATCTTTCAAAAACAGTAGCTGAGGGGGCCTGCCCCCGCTCCCCTGAAACTCAGCACAGCTTCACCTCCAGTTCATCTTTCCAGTGGGAAAATGAACGTTTAAAAAGGCATTCAAGCCATGCCAACCAAGCATGCGAAAGAATGCTAGTTGTTCCAGGATAAGTAACACATAAATCAGAAGAAAGTGTTTGGGAGTGGGAGAGAAGAGGAAACGCTGCAGAGAAGCTTCCGGAGCTCAGCGCGCCACCTGGGGACCACGGCGCTGCTGGGCAGAGGGAGCAGAGTTCCCCCAGGCAGGGCCCCCGCTGCCCCCTCGGCTTGCCCCCGGCCGGGAAAGAAAAGCTGCACGTGGCGGGGGGACGGGGGGACGACGGGGACAAACGACCTGTGAGTCCTTTGCAAGCAGACCTCCTAAAACTGGTGCTTTTAAAAGCATCCTCTTCTAACGTGATGCTGCTTTGCAACTTTGCTGAACATGCAAACACACCAGCAAACAAACCTTTCCTTTACACTTTAGACAGCTGCTGACATAATGTTAATATTAATAATAATGAATAATAGGGGGAGGAAAAGGGGGAGGAGGAGGCAGCAGTGGTGGCGGAACAATGCTAGAGTAACTGGCATCCTGCGCAGAGCAGGGGGCTGAACCCAACGGCCTTCCGGCCCTTCCAACTCCTGTTATCCTATGATTCTGCCACCCTTACACCCTAGGACAAAATGGCAGAAGAATATTAGCAAAGGTTGGACGGGGAAGAGGCCTGCTGGGGCAGTAGGAGGAGGTCTGATCCAGGATGCTAGCAGCTAAGCTGTTCCCTCCTCGGGCTCAGAAACCCCACAGAAACTATTCCCCGGAGCCCATCCGCAGGGCAGAGCAGGCGTTTCAGGGCAGTTTGCTCTCCCGCTCTCCAGATGTTACGCATCTCGCATCTCGTCTCCCTCCTTGCAGGCCCCGCCGGCACGAGGCGGCTGCACTCGCACAGAAGGAAGCAAGCCGTTCCAGGCATGCCACTGCAGGCGCGCGCGCACGCTCCCCACCGGCTCCTGCTCCCTTCAGTTTAATTACCACTAATGTAAACTGTGCTCCATAAAAACCGCTGGCACTCCGCCCCGAGAAGCCGCGCAGGACAAGTCCCATAAATCGACTGCAAAGAGCCGCATGCAGCCGGGGTCTTTCCTCCCCCACCCGCCCACTTTCCCTTTCCCCTTCTTGGCTAAAACCGGTATTTGCTCAAGGGCAAAAGCTTTTTAAACAGGATCATAAATGCTTATTACACGGCCGATGTGCTCGGCTTGATGGGATTAGCTGGGGGGGAGAAATTGATCACCAGGGCCTTCTCCCCGCACACACTCGCCCCCCCGCCCGCCCGCCCGCCGGAGGGGGAGGGGATTCCCAGGGCTGCTCTGCCCGGGCAGGACGGTTCCTGCAAGCGAAACGCGTTCCTGCAAGCGAAACACGGAGGCGGCGGCCCCTTCCCAGCCCTTCAGCCTCCCCTCTCCAGGCGCCCGGCACATGTCCCTGGGCAGGCAAACTCTCCCAGAACATGGGAAGGCCCGAGGGGCTTCCAAGGGGCATATCCCTGCCAGCCCCATGGGAAATGCATTTTGGGCATGCGGGCAGATCACGGGAAAGGTGCGGGGGCATTGGGGGGTGCATGGCCACAGGGCTGGCATCACCCCAGGCAGGGGATGGATACAGGATCGGGGGGCACCTTCCTGCTCGGGTGGAAAGCTGCCCACGACGAAAGAAGCGGTATGTTTCAGTAAATGGCTGTGAGCTGATTATCCAAGGGGGCCACAGGCTTTCCCATGCGGCTGAAGAGCCACCCCTCAGGGATGCTTGAACTTGGAGTCCTGCCCCCGCAGCTCCGCCATTCGAGGAGGCAATGCACGGAGCCTCTTCTGGCGATTCGTTGGGAGACGGGGTGCGGGGCAGCGGTGCTCACGACCAGATTTTGCAACACACACGCATGCAGCGCAGGAACACAGGCGAGCCTGGGTGCGTCAGACCTGGGGTCCATCTCATCCACCCCCCCAGCTGCCCACGGGATCCCACCAGCAGGACCTGCATGCCACAGCACCCTCCCGCCCACCCATGCTCCCCAGCAACTGGTGTGCCGAGGCACACTGCTTCTGTTACTGAGGCGTCAGGAGGACTAGAAGCCACGGAGAGCTGACAGCACCACACATTTGTCCAATTCCCTTTTAAAGCCAGCCAATGGATGACGGCGGTGCTGTTGCACGGAATTCCTGCTTCGGCAGAGGTCTTCTGGACTGTGCTGCATGCTTATCTTTTTACAGCATGGTATTTTTTCCCACCAGCTTGTATGTGGAGGACCACTTTCACCTCCTCTGGAGAAGCTCTTGGCGGCTGCCTTCCAGGGGCATCCACATATTTTAGCCCTTCTGCCAGGAGCCCAACCTTAGAAGCAGCATTTCAACCATTTAGAATGAGCGCGAAATGGTGCGAGACCTGGAAAATCGCCAGATAATCAGTGTTCATGGAAAAGTGGGTGTGAGAATCCCAGAGGTCCAAAACTGGTCCATGGACCCAAGCCCCCCTCTATTCCATAAATTGCTGGGGGAACCCATGGGTGGGCTGGGGTGACGAAAGCAGTTTTTAAGACTAAAAAGCCCCAAATATCGCACATTCCCTCAACCAACTCTGCTCATCCTCCCTTGCCTTGGTTATGCACACAGCCCCAAACACATGCCAGAAGAAGCCCTGGGACCTTCCGGACTACAACTCCCATCTCTTCAAGCCATTGGGCACAACTGGGGTTGCAGTCCAACACATCTGGGGGCTTGTGGATGAATTTGCACCAAACAGTTTTAAAAATACTCATATACTCTACTGGAAAGGTCTTGCAAACCATAACCAAGCCTCAAGAAAGACATTTCAACCATTTAGAAGAGGGCGAAGACTGAATCAGAGTGAAGGTAATAGAAGTTTAACATCAAAATGACCAAATACTCATGTTCTCTTAATAGATTTAATCCTTCCTCGCTCCGTTTATGCACGAGCTGCACTCAATGACCCCAGCCCACAACCTACTGAAGAATACCGACGTCAGTGCTCCCCAACCTGGTGCCTTGCAGATGTATGGACTACAGTTCCCACTGCCTGAAGCCAGCAGGGCCTCGGGGGCAGGAGCTGCAGTCCAGCTCATCCGAAGGGCTGTGAGCAGCAATCGCACCAGTAATTCCTCCCCGGGCCCCCCCATGTGCCCAACACACCTGAAGTTGGGGGCAGACGCCCATTCGAGGGCCAGGCAGGCCAAATCCACGGTGGCATAGACCAACAGGAAAAAGATGGTGACCACGGCGGCGATGGTGTTCAGCTTTCCGGAGAACAGCACCAGCTGCGAGGGGCAGAGGACAAGAAAGGTAATGGAGAACGGGAGACTGCTGGGGAGAGAGCGCTGCGTGGCAAAGACCTGTGGATTTCCCCACAGAAACATTTGCAGAAACCGTTTACCCCTTCCGGCTTTCCCGGCTTCAAGGGGCCTTCCACACAGGTTGCGACGTGCCAGCAAATCACCTCTGATTTACGGTGAGCCTATGAAGGGGTGACCTCCTTCACAGCGCTGCTCAGCTCTTGTCAAGTCAAGGCTGAGGCTTCCCGAGTGCTTCCAGGAGGGGGCATAAACAGGTAATGAAAATACAAGACCAGCATTAGCCCCCGGCACAGGGCGCTGCGGGCGTCTTCCCTTGCGCAAACAGCGGAGCAGCCCCCGGCATGGGCGGAGGGGGGATTCCATGCTGGAAGGGGAACAGAGATTTCTGCAGCTTTCTTGCGGCTGGACGCCTGCTGTTCCCGTCTGGGAGGGCTGAAGCCATGGGCTGAGCACCTTGCAACACTCTCAGCACTGGAACGGCTAGCCCAGAGCCTTCGCTTTCAAACGGATGCGTAGGAAAGAGAGCAGGAAAAGCCAGGCTGGATCAGACCGAAGGTCCGTCCAGTCCAGCACTCCAGCCAAACGGGGGCAAAGCAGCTGCCCATAGGATCCCTCCAGCAGGATGGGGGCAAGCCCTTCTCCTGCCCAGGCTCCCTGGTGCAAGCAGGCGGGCCGCCTCTGATGAAGAAGGGAGCACGTGGCCAGCCAGGCTAGTAGCCATGGAAAGCCTCCCCCTCCATGGATCTGTCTGAAACATACTGGATGTCTGGTCCACTGTTGTTGAGACTGCCAGAATCTTGCATGCATTTCATATTACTGTGTGCACTGGAGAAATGGGGCTGCCCCCCATGCCGAGACCCCCCTGCGAGCACCACTGTACAGGCCTGCGAACGCAAAGGTGCCCACGGGGGCCACACTGGGGTCCTGATTTACTCTCAGTAGCAAAGCCTTAGGAGGGGACGAAGCGGCACGTCCGCTGCAGAGCCGCCAGATGATGGGAGGCTGTGGGGAGGGGGCGGGGCCAGGGGAGGGGGCACGTCCCTCTGAGCCAAGCCAGGGGGCCAGTTGTGGCCCCCGAGCGCCAGGTTCCTCGCCCTCCCTGTAAAGGAGGAAAATTCCGTGCAGCGGAGAAGGACTAACTGGAAATACGTTAGTCCTTGATGTTTAAACCAGTCGGGTCTCAATGTTACGGCTGTTTTTCTCCTCTCTCCCCCTGCTCTCCTCTCTCCGCTGCAGCTCTGCTTTAATCTTAAGTCGATGGGCAGCTTTCGAGCTGCATATATTAGGAGAGAAAAATATAAAAATCAACAAGTGGCAATTTGAAGAACAGCCCCCCCCACACACACACTGTACTCAGCCGATATCCGAAAACAATTATAGGAGATATCATAAAAGACTGCCTTTAAAATCTGCCATGCAAAACAGGTCCCATTCAAAGAAGGCTAACGTGTTCCTCTTAAAAATGAAAAAGAAATAATAAAAATCTAAAAAGCCATTGAAATAGCTGAATGGAGGGGGACATGGGTGGGGGAGAATTAGAAATAGAAGATGCTCAAGCTTTGCTTGTTTCTACACTGATCCTAATTCTGAATGCTGGTTCTCACCCATCTCCGCATTAATCTGCTTCTTTTTCCAAAAGGAAACCCTGCATAAAACCTCATATTGAAATATGAACACATTTCATTTCAAAATGCTCCTTGTCATTCTGTTCTCTGAATAAGTAACTTTGTCTTAACATCAGGCAGTGTGCAAAATCTGCCTGTGATTGTGTGGTGTGTGGTTGTGATCTGTGTGCTGGTTGAGGAGGTAAGGATCCGGACAGATCGTGCCAAGACCGAGCACCTCAGCTGATCCGGATTCCAAAAATCACCTCCACAGCATTGGAGCAAGAAACCAAGGTGCACTTTCTTGCAAGGTTCCTGGGGAAGGAGTGCCATTCTGACAGCCCTGTGGACATCCTACTGATTTTTTTCCTTCTCCCTGCCCACCTGTTTTCCTTGTGTGTCATGTCTTCTTATAAGGTAAAATATAGATACTACCTTCTCTAGATTAAAAGCCAGACTTAGAGCCTTTTATGGCTGAGAAGCAGGATAAAAATACTTTCAATAAATAAATACCAGCAGTAGGTAATTCCTGTTATGTCCCATACTGCAGATTTGGGGTGAGAGAGAACAGAGGGCACTGGAAGTCCTGCTGGACTCTAAGCCCAGAGGAAAGAAGTAAGTTTCCTGTGCTCACCGCAGACATCCATCAGCGTATTTCTGCGGTGCAATGCAAAGCCCTGCAGTATCTAGCCGGTTTCCCAGAATGCAAAGCCCTGCAGTATCTAGCCGGTTTCCCAGAATGCAAAGCCCTGCAGCCTCCAGGTTGCCCTGAGCTTAGCATTCCTGAGGTAGGGAATTTCCAGCTCTGCTGTGCCGGAAGGGGAACGTGCTGGCCACCCCACTCAAGGAACCGCACTGGGGCCCCTGGCATAACAAAGGCGGCTCTCCTTTGCCAGGAAGCCGGACCTGCTCAGCCCCAGCATCTCATGCCAGAGCAACCTCCCGCCGCCCCATGGAAACCCCCGCAAGGCAGGGCCGCTGGGGGAGTCTGAGCCAAGCTTCTCAAGATGGGCTGGGCTGCAGCACCCCGTATTTCTGACCAGTGGCCATGCTGGCTGGGGCTGACGCATGCAGAAGCCCAGAACACCTGGAAGACCTCCACGCGCTGCCTCAAGCACGGACTGCTAAGGAACCTGCCAAAGAAAAGGGCAGAGGAACGGGGTGGCTGGTGGAGGAAGCTGAGGCTTCTGCTATGCGGCAGAGAAACGACCGTGCACACAGCAAGGGAATCTGCCAGGAGCTGTACAAAAAGGTACATGCCCGCAAGAACACACACATCTGTACAGGACCAGTTCATACCCATCCTTTCAAACAAGCAGCCATTGACTATATCATTTGCGTTGGCTCTGCTGGGCTGCTGGGGACGGACTTCTGTGGGCAGCCTGGACAAAAGACCTGCAACCTTACAAGGAACCCGAAGCAGCAGCTGCTGAGGGCCGGGACTGCAACCTGCCTTTTAGGGACAAGAAACCACCAGTTTCCAGTGGAAACTTTCATCTCGTGCCCAGCTGCCTCTTGGTGGCCAAGCAACTGTTGTCCAGACAGCAATGCCGAAAGGGCCAGGTGCCCAGCGCCACGTGCCAGGGCCCCGATCCTGGCCGCAACGCCCTCTCTCCGTTCCAGCAGCTGCTATTCCCTTGATGCTGTTTCTGGGAGTGCCATGTCATCCCGAGTGCCGTGGTTTTCATGGGAAGCCTCCTTTGGCCCTAGAAAACTGAGAGCTGCCTCTGCCTCAGCAAAGTCCCCATGCAGCAAGTGAGATGGACGGAGAGGCTTCTCTTCGACCTCGCGAGCATTCCTCCCAGCGAATTCTTGCTCACCATTTGAGCCTGAATGGCCAGAGATGGAGCACATCCAGGAAACCGCTCGAGGAGGGAAGGAGCGGAGCACGGCGAGAGAGAAGACGCCTTGGCAACTGGCAATCACATTGTTCTCCACTTCCCTGGGCAGCAAGACATTCCGGGAACAGCACAAGCCGTTGCAGCTGAGAGCACACGGGAGGGAGTTCAGGTGCTCTCGAGAGAGAGAGACCGTTTGAGCAGCAACCGTGGGAGCGGAAGGCGAGAAGGTGGTCCAGCAGGACGGAGGATTCTCTAGGAAAGCTTGCAGGTGTCTCCCCGATGTTTCCTATCCCTCCTGCCCTGTCAGGCAGCTCAGGCCAGCTAGAACGGTTCCCTTGTCTGCCTTCCCAAATCTGACAGTGACTCCCTCGCTCCTTCCCACAAAAACACACGTGCTCTTTCTTAGGCAGGAAGGCTGGCCCATGCCAGATGCAACCCAGCATCCCTGCAGGCAGCCACCCTGCTTCCGTTCTGCGCTGCCTTCACCTTGGGGGCCTCTCTTTTTACGTTTAACCAAACTCCGCTTCCTTGCAATTTCCACCTGCCGCTCGCCGTCCGGTGCAGGAAGCAGCACCGAGAGAGTTTGCCTGCATCACCGCCTTTCAGCTCTTTGCAGGGCCCCCTCCTCCCCTAACCATCATGGCTGCCCAACAGTTTCCCTTCTTCGGGCTCAGCTCAGCCAGCCCTTTCAACCCCTCCCAGCAGGAGTCGGCTGCCAGATCCTGCATCATCCTTGGCACGCTCAGTCGATCAACTTCCTTCTCAACGTGGCTGGACAGCCAGTCCCTCCAGCCATTGCGCAAAGGTCCGTGCGGAGGAGAGCGGGCTGCATGGGGCTTCGGGGGGCCCCCCAGCCTCAGGAGGGGTGCTTCAGTGCGAATGGATCCTGCATGGCTGGAGAAGGGCCAAAATGGGCCTAATTGTAGGGTCTCCCTCGGGGGATCAACCCCCTGCTCCCAGCTGGTACAGTGCTGTAGCTACACGTGCTGGGCTGGGACCGAGGAGATTCGGATTCTGGCCCCTGTTCACTGGGTGCCTTTGGACCAGTCACTCTCTCTCAGCCTAAACTACCTCACAGGGTTGTTGCGCAAATGAAATGCAGAGGAAAAGGCTCTTGTAAGCTGCCTTGGGGTCCTTGTGAGAGGAAAATGGAAGGGCGCAACGTGATGTCGTAATGATGATGATGCAATACCCACGCAACAGTCCCGGCTTGGTCTGGGCCAGAAAGCCGGCTTTAAGCCACGCTGGAGGATGCAGCAGCTTCCGCGGATGCCTGAAAGGCACCAGAGAGGCTTGCTAAGCAGTCCATTTATAAACCAAGGAAGTGCTCACAAGAGCCGTTGCTCAGGAGAAGGTAGATACTCGCTTTTATCCAGTGCATGGGGTAGCCAAAGAGGGACCCACATTTCACAGAATCACCGAATGGTGGAGTTGGAAGGGGCCATGAAGGCCATTGGGTCCACGTTACGCCCTCCCACTCAGATGGCTGTCCAGTTTCTTCTTGAACGTCTCCACCACC